AAAAATTGGAAGGAAAGTGAGATAATGAAAGAAAATTATTTTTTTCCTTTTGGAACTTGATTCTTTAAAAATCCACTGTTTAAATTTAGGTCACACTGATAGGTATTAAAAGAAAAACACTAACACATTAAAATACATTTACATTTTTTTCAGTCTAAGTTTCCTTAATAGCTCTGTTGATAAGTCAATTTGTATGAATAAAATTCCAGATCCACTTATCTTTGACTAATAGAGAATCATCTTTTCTTTTTCTTTTTCTTTTTTTTCTAGAGATACTCAAAATATGTTTAAAGGGTCATCACTTCTCCATTCTCTTTCTACCATTTCTTGGGGCTAAGGGTTAAAAAAAGAAGCTATCATCCATTCTGGAGCTATATTCCAAACATATAGATTAACTGACCCATCAGTGAGAAATTCAGCATGGTGTGAAGATAGTGAATGTATGAGTGCTAGTCACTCTCCACAGCAATTCTTGCTAGCACTGTTTTGAGCCAGCAAGGGATTGAATGGGCCAAGGAATCCTGCTGAGCATTTCAATTCTTGTCAATTTCTATCCCCTGGTGGTTTATAATAATAGAGTTAGCAAGGAGAACAGAGGAATAACATTAGTGACACATGTGCTTGCTCCCTCAACAAACCCTTTCTCATGGGTTGCTTACAGTTGGATTATAGTACCTGAGATTTTGCCTCTGTTGCACTTGTTCTGAAAAGCTTAACAGGAAAATATACCAAATTCAAAGATATACATGTATAATGTTAATAGTAGCACCCACCTGAACTTAGGACCCAACCTGAGCCTTTGTTATTTCATTATTAAGAGAATCAGTGTGTCAATGTGATACAAATCACTTCTAGGTTCATCTGACAATTCTGTGTTCATGATAATTAGCCATGAGATATTAGAGGCAACAAGAAAAATGTTCATTTCAATTATGAACTCTTCTTCACAATTTTTTCTAAGAACTACTTGTTCTGATTATTACTATGATGCCTGAGTATGATCTATGGCAGTGCTCTACAATATTTTGTATTCTGCAGCATACCTGCAGATCTGTAAACGTACTATAGCATCAAGTGGAGAGGGAAGGGAGAATCTGATGAAAAACAGCAAATGTATGCACCATGAGAGAAAGGAAAAAAGCGTAAGACACCATGGTCTTCATGACAAATTGGTTGTATAGTGACAAAAATGTTTCAAATAGCTCAAGAGTAGTAAGAAAACTGCTCCCTCTGGAGGAATATTAACTCTACTAAGTTTACTTTATATATTAACCTTAATTTCACAAGTATATTTACAGGCTTGAAATTTATACAGCTCAGTTCCTTTAACTAGTGAGACTAAGCAACCCTGCCACCCACACTTCACCTTCATTTCCTGAAGGAACTTTAAAATAATCTTTCACCTGTGGTACACATTAGCCTTTTTGTAAAAGCATTTATTTGATTTCTGCATAACCAAAATGAAAACCAGTTTTACAATATAGTCTATTATTAAGCAGAAGGAAATTCCACTGCCTTACTTACTAATTAAAACTGTGAAATAAATTGTGTTTTAATGTTACTCATTTTAAAAAATAAATGAAAAAATAGAGCAACTGTAAAAATTGCACTTAAAATCCTATGAAAATTAACTTCTAGGTAGTTACCTTGATTACAATCAATAACATTGCAAAATTCTCTGACGTTGTTTTCATTGATTTCAGCTTGCTTTCTTTCAATAAACGCAGATATTCGTCTGTCAATCTACAAACAATAAGTATGTTTTAACAATGTAAAAATAATGAGATTTTTTAAAAAGTAATACCCTCCCACTCCCCCATCCCAAAAAAACTTCTTACTTCTGCTTTTCCAGCCTTTATTTGAACTACTTCTGGATCAAAATGGATCTGTGTCTTTTTCACATCTCCTAAATCACAGTCTTTGTGCTTTTCTTCCTCTTGTAGGTTGCCAATGGAAAATTTGGTGTTTATTTCATTTTTGTTCCCCATGTCTGTTTTTCCTATGTCTTCACAAGCAGTTGTATTCTCCTCTTTAATCAGAGGCTGAAGTTTTGCTAAAAAAGGCTGAGAAGAACACAATTCCATCTGCTGGGGTTCACACTAACCAAAACTAATTACGCATTTAATATATTTACATAAATTTCTGCTAAGCAAATGAAATATTTAATATCAACTATTAAATATAAAAGTTGTTACATCAGAATACATAAATCTGAGCACATATAAGTGTTTACTGTTCTCTGTTACTGTGACCATTACCATTAGCTATAAATTTATTTTAAAAAAAGAAAGAAAGAAAGAAAACCTGAGGAAATTTAAAATTTTCTTTGAGGGAATCATTCTGTCACTCATCTTTTATTTTGTGCCAAATCAAAGCCTTCAGCCTCTGGCACCAATGCCACTTAATTAACATGTCATTCAAATGCCTCCTCAGAACACTAAGGCTTAGTATTTTTCCTCCTTAACACGAGAGCCAGTGCTCTCACTCAGCAAAGCCCTGCATTATCACTGTATCACTGGAGATTCTCCACTTGAAACTGCAGTTGGCCAATGTGAATGAGAAAGCATAGACATGACATATATAGGTGTTATGCTGAGTGAACACTCAGACTTTTACTGACATGGCAAAATATCTTCTTGGGTCATGAAATTAAATTTTAAAAAAGAAAACGGACAAGGAAAAAAACCCTACCACGATCCATAGCTGAAAAGAGATAAATGTCACCTATCACTATACTAGAGGGGGGAAAATACCCTTTTGTATACGTTATATTACCCATTTATGCCGCCCCCCAATAATTAGGCCTCATTTGAGTTCTATAGCTCAATGCTCTGCCCTTTAAAAACCGGGTTAACTATTACTTTTAACATGAAACACAGAGTTAAATTTTCCCACAATGTCACTCAATGGAGGGCTGAACATTAATGCCTATTCCATTAGTCAAAACATACCAACACTTATCAATGTTCCAATTATTTTTTCATACCTACAATTTTGCTTCCATTGTTTCCTATACCAAATACTCTTCTGAAACCTTATAACATGTTAACCACAGTAAACTGACCAATCCAAACAGTTCTTCCACTTAGCTTCTTGACACTTCACATTTTACATTTTGATTAGAGATAAACTGCAAACTTACATCAATTATAATTGCAGAGATGTTCAATTAGAAACCAGCAAGGTCATAATACTGTTCAGTTATTCAACTGAAATATTAAAAGATATAATAATACTTTATAAATAACAATGCAATATTGACTTATATATAAAGAATGAATTATTTTCAACTAAGAAAAAGAAAAGATAAAATAGTGACTGGCTACTAACTAAGATGAGACATTAATGTCACAGAAATTACTTTCTTTTTAAAAACTATGCTGAAACTGTTTAATTGCAATAGACACTCCAGGATGTGTCATGCTGGGATAATGCCACTTCTTGAACCACTGAAAGCACTCCATGAGCCTCCAAACTCACCCAAGGCATGGAATCATTATCATAGCATGACACACACCTGCCGTGTCTTATTGCTTAATTATAACCCACCATAGATGGAACTGTATTGAATTTTCAGTGCAAGTTTAGAGTTGAATAGAGTTGCATTTGTTCAATCTCATACCCATATCGGCCTATTGGGCTATATTGCCATAACTGTCCTGATCTCTACTGAAATTAACAGATTTAAGTCCAATTTGGATGTAAGAAACCTTTTATTAGTATCACTATTAATACACTGTTAAGATAGAACTGACAAATACTCCAGCAAATTTAACCACAATTAATTTCTATTTTCAATATTGAGTTAACATTTCTAACAAGAAATTTACCTGTAAATATAAAATGTGTTGCTCAAGTGCACTAAAGAGCAATGCAGGCTGGAATGCTGAGAGGCTCTGGAGCTTGTTCCAATCGATTGTAATTTTCACCACATCATCTCTGAGGCTAAGCTTCAAAGGGGCAAACCAGTAACATCACAAAAATTACAAGATTAAGCTGTACATATGGGATTGTCACAAAAATAAGATTTCTATAGAGTTATACATGTCTATTTTGCTCAAAGTTATCAAGTTTTTAATGATACATTCAAATGCTTTACCCATTACAATTTTAAAAGGCCAAGGAAGGTATATATTTGAGCTAAAAACAAAAACAAAATGACATCTCACTCTGATTCTATTCTTGGGTCTGTGTAATGGGACCATTTTAGAAGAGAAGCCATTCATGAAAAACAAAAATATGAAGGCTCTCTTGATACTTCAATATCTAAAAACCTTTGCATAGGGTCCAAAATAGGCTTGCCTTATTCAGATTCCTACTATTTCTAGCTCAGAGCATTAACCAGCAGAAGCACAGCTGTTTTACAAAAGTTCTAATATGCACATGTCTCTTTGTTAAATATGTGCACAAATACATATCAGAAATATATAATCATTCTGACGTCCTCTGAATCACATTTTTATTGTTTTCACCTTTAACCAATTTTTAAAATAATTTAAAAATCAAGATTATTCATACATATAAAGTCTAGCGATAAATGCCAACATGTTTATCTACTTCAAATAAAAAAAGACTTCTCCACAATAGTGAAAAAAATTGCCAGAAACTGAATGGAATGTCCAGATCTTTTGCTAAATATTATTTTCTAATAAGATGTAAGGGCTCATTATACGAAAATTTCTTATCAGTTGGTGACATGATAGAATGAAATCATACCCACAAAACTACCAAGAACCTGAATATAAAATTAATATCAAATCAGTGAAAATTTTAGAGTGAGCCTCCATCTGCAGTTTTTTGAGTGAATAAAAGTGAACTACCATAAACTTTTCTAGGGACATGTATTTAGAGCATAGCATAAGGATATACTCCATAGTAGAATCAAGTGAACTACATTTTTTTTCAGAAATAATCTATTAAAAATTAGTCGTGTTTTCTACAAAATAAATTGTTACCTGAATTCAAATACAGATTTATGAGTTGTAATTATAATAAAAAAAAAAGATGAATCACTATACAAGGATCAAACAGATCCAAAGTTACCAATAAAAAAGCAATATATTGAATACAAATACTATGTGGCAAAAATTTACCACCCTTTGAACATGAGACAAGTATTTAAAGTCCATATTAGACAAGTGTAAAGAAATATGAACTCCTATGTCGGCTGTACTGGCAAAGATAACTTTATATTAATTTAATTAAAATTTTATACTAAGATTAATGCATTACCCTTAATTTATATTACTTTAATGCCTATAAAGATTTTGTTAGTCAACATATATTACCTATGGAAGTAACCCATTATTATAATTTTATAATTCTCAATGAGATCTATAGTCAATTATAGCAAATTTATGAATATGGATGGTTTGGGGATAAAGCAGACAAATCCTCAACCAAAGCAAAGTATCACATTTTCTAGAGCAAATAATAGAAAATAAGTTTTAATGTTTGAATCACATTCTCATTTCAATTGAACAGAACTACTAATTACAAGTGCAATTAAGAATACCTGGTCTTTTAAGAAAACCAAATAATGTCACGAATTAATTTTAAAACTTTCCCAATACATTTGACTATTCATTCCACAAATTCCCTATTAGTAATATTAATTCTATGCATTTCCCTCCTATAGAACTTGGAATAGTAAATAATCCAGTCAAAAATCTCTATTAGTCTGCTATTAATATAGACTATTTAAATATGTATTTCCAGTAAAAACCTTATTTAAATTAATACAAAAACCAAAGCTAAAAATAAATAATTCCTTAGCTTGGTAAAATGGGCCATCCAGAGGCAAGTAAAAAAGGTTAAAATTAATAAATTTTGTGAGCTGAAGTAGAAAATGCTTTCAAGCACTTAATTTTATGTTTCCTCCTAAGGAGAGCTAATAATACAATGATACTGAGGACGATGCAGGATGAACATAGTATATTACAACATACATTTTAAAAATCCTTTAAACTTGGTCCAAAAGGAAATACTCATTCTTCTGGGGACCATATTGTAAGTATGGTACTCTGGCTTTCATTCTTAGTATTTCTCAAAAAAACTGCGTATTATCAAAATGATAAGCATTTAATTGATGAGACAACCTTATTTTTGACACTTGTATAATACGGAAGGTCCCTTCACTGTGTCTCAGTAAACTCACCATTTACCCTAAACATTTTTTACAGGTGACTTAAGTAAATTTTAATCACTCCTCTACTTGTACCTTTAGAATACCTGAATGTTTAAAATTTTTAAATGAGCTTGAAAAACTCAGCATGCAAAATATTTCAAAAGAAATGTTTAAATCATTGCTCAATATTAATTTTTAAAAATACTCCACCACTGAAAAATAAACTTCTGTAAATAATACGTGAGTGTAAACTTTTTTTGTCTTGACATTATAATATGAACAAAATTTAATGCTCCAGTGTTGCCATAAAAAGTTCTCTAAGTTTTAAACCATTTAAAGGCCTTGAATCTTAAGACTGAAATGTTAATAACAGAAGTCCCCAAGTCTTTAAAAAATTTTTTTTGGTAAGTCCTTGCCAAATAATTGAGTTGAAAAGTTGGATCTTTTAGGAGATTCTATGAATAACTGCTTCATTACACAAAACTGAATGTTTAACTTGCAGTACTATTCTTTGTAAGTCACAAGAAACACGCTAAGAGTTTTTAGAATATCGAAATAACTTTTTAAAAGACTGATTCTTAATCCACTCAAGGCTTTTAAAAATGATTTTCACAAACGCTCTATTTTCATAGGAATTTACCATTATCTTTGACACAAATGCCTGCTCTGTCTCCTACATGCACGAGTATCAGCACCGAAACAAACTTTTATAGCTAGAAAATGGTCCATAAGATATAAAAGAAAATATTTCCTTTTAGAAAGCAGTTTAACAAACATACTTTTGTTTCTCATTTAAAATTTGCTTTTAATTTTACATCATGAAACGAAATACTAACTTGATCGAATAGAGTAAAAGGAGCCCGTTTTTTTAAACCCAGTTTTACTACGACATTTCTGCAAATACGATTTATCAGCCAGTTAAACTAGTTAATAGTTAAACAATTAAACGACAGTTCTAATGCAAACAGCATCAACCATGGATAACTCATCCAACTTTACGCTATTTTAAATGAATTCCTTTTACTTTCCTTCCCTTTTGTAAGGGTTAATAGATACACACAATGGCCCAGGAGAAAAGAAATAAACAAAACTGAGTGACTCATAAGAGCAAGGCACCCTAAAAAAAAAAAAAAAAGGCCGAGAGCGCGCTTTTCCAAAAATCTCAGGCCGCACTGACCGACCAATTCCTATAATGGAATAAGCTGGAGGAAAAAGGACGCTGAGCTCCAGGCGCCTCCTAAAGCCTCAGTGAAGCTTTTTCGCATTGTCTCCAAGCCAGCTCCTCGCGGAGCCGGGTTTTTTACTTTGGATCATCCTCACTTACTCCTGGGGAGAACAGGTGCAAGGTAATCTAGTCTGCAACCCGTACTGAACTACGCCTTCACAGCCGTCCCCTCTCACTCCGGCTGGAGGCGGCTGGGCCCGGGGTTTGTCCCCCGGCAGCATCCTACACTCTGGCAGGCCTCGGTTGACCCCCACCTTTGCTAGAGGAAAAAAAAGGGGGGAGGGGCCGGATAGTTACCCTGCCTTCAGTCCTTCAGGCCACCTCTCACCTTTCCGGGCAGGGCGTGCAGGGAGCGAAAGACTTCGCAGAGTACCTCTCGGGAGAGGGTGGGGCTGCAGCTTCGCTCCAGGCTCTCGTCACCACTGCTCGGGCGACTAAGCTCCGTGGCAGCAGCCATGATATCTTCGCAGGCCGCTCCACCACCACCGCCACCACCAAGGTTCGCTCACAACCCCACCCCCACTCTCTCCTGCTTTCGTCGCTCAGCGATGACGTAAAAAAAGCGTCTCGTTTAGACCAGGCATTAAAGCCCCACCCTCTCTGTGTGACTGACAAGCACGTACGGCAATCAGGTGCAACTACATATTGCGCCGAGATTCTGGAGCGGGTAATTGCTGACGAGCGCTATATTGGATGCTGTTGGGCGATTTGATTGAAGTCGTGGTGTGTTAAGGGTTAGTGTCATGAAGCCTACCTTGACTCATAGACGTTGCTCATGAGTGTTGGTAAGAAGAGACTTATAACTAAATGTTAGAGTTTGAGCCCTAAAAATTGAAATTTTAACCTGGTGGTGTGGAGTGGGTCTGGAGAAAGATCGCTGGTCAGGGATGGAGCGTGTTTCTAATCACTGGAAAACTCACACAGAATCGTCATAATCAGAACGTTTTAATCTCTTCAAGGTTGTTTAAAACGTATATAAATCAACGCTACTAATTTTTCATGCAGGGGAGGGCAGGATGTAAAAGAACAATAAAAGTGCTCCATTATGCCTCATTTTACTATAAAGGGAATGACACTAACGGTCTTAAATCTGTAAAATAATTCATGTCAAGTTTTAAAACGTGCATCAGTTGCTATTATCTGGGTGATAACTGTAGAGATGCTGAACCCGAAAATTGTTTCAAAGAAGTGAAACACTGTCAATATGATTCCAACAGGAATTTAACCCAAATAAGTAATATCATGGAACCACAATCTTTGAAATTAGGAAGAGGACATAAAATGGAACTGAAATTTGACAAAGTGTTATTTACCCTGTAGCTTTATTATAAAGATGTTTGAAGGACTTTGTAATCTTTTTTTTTTTTTGAGACAGAGTCTCACTCTGTTGCCTGGGCTAGAGTGCCGTGGCATCAGCCTAGCTCACAGCAACCTCAGACTCCTGGGCTCATGCGGTCCTCCTGCCTCAGCCTCCCGAGCAGCTGGGACTACAGGCATGTGCCACCATGCTCGGCTAATTTTTTCTATATATA